GCGTGATGAAATTAACAATTTCCTCTCACATTAAATTTCAGTATTCAACAAACATAGAATAAGAACATCATGAGAAACAACAGTTTTTGCACAACAATGAATAAAATATTTATATAAACAAAGACGTTTTTCAACTGGAGTAAAAAAATAGTTTTAAAAAAAGTTCAAACGTCCTTTTATGTTTAGATGAAAAGTTATCAAAGTTCTGGTTTGATAGATTATAATTTGTTGAATGGTCTGTACAATAATGAGTGTGTTTTGGTATTATAGTAATTTAAGAAAAAAATAAACAGTTCAAGTTTGTATTTGAAATAGAGAAATATTGTTTACGACTTACTTTAAAGTTTACGGAATTGTCGCTCTTTGATTTGTTTTCACTTGTTCGAAGAGACTATTCTAGTTGGGGTAAATGGTTCTTAACAAGCCGTGTTTATGTTAATTGCAATAATTAACGTTGAGTTTGAAAGCGTATGAAAAAGATTCGTGTATTAAGTTGAATGTGGAAAACTTGAGTTGACTGTTCGTGATAAAATACTGCTGTGTGAATGAGTGTTCTCTCAGGCTGGAATCATGTTAAGGAACTTTAATGTAAAGCCTGGAACTGTGTGACGAGTTCAAAGGATTCCGATCGGCGCACTGTCGAAGATGAAAGACGTTTCATATTTTATTGCTAACTTTAGTCACGTGATAGGCTCACCGAAGCTTGATAGATTTTGGCGGAATTATCTTTTTGATCAGGTCAAGAATTAGGTCGATGTTATTAAATATTAAGTGACTAATTAGAAGTTGAAATTTTCTGAAAATCTTACTTATTATAAAACGCAGATTGTGTGTGTGTGTCTGTATGTTTATATATTGGATCGGATTTCCTACATTTTTCAACCGATTTCAACAAAACTTCACAGGACTACGTAAAATTACCTTGCGGTGGTTCTGACAGCGCCAAAAATTGGAAAAACACAATTGTTTTGCTCAAAATCAATTTGAAAACACGATAAAAAACACGATTCTATCGCCAGAATGAAAGGGGACAACTCATATCGAGTTATACTTATTATAAAACCTGGAAAATGTTTAAAACCTGTGTGTGTGTGTGTGTGTGTGTGTGTGTGTGTGTGTGTTCGTTTATATATGGGATCGGATTTCCTACATTTTTTCAACCGATTTCAACAAAAACTTCACTTTTTTGGCAGGTTAATTTAGTGTTTCTTTATTATCTTGCACTTTTTTTCTTATTTTTACATTCAGAATGCTTTAAAAATTCCATTTACAAGACAATTGTTTATAATAAAATTCTATTCAATCGATAGACTCATAACGATTGAAAACAATATTTTTTGTTTGAGTTTGGGTTTGACCAATTCGTAAAAAATAAAAAAAAAAAAAAACTAATTAAGACGTGCGTGTCCATCAACCTTAAACAATAATCTTTGTCAATTTTATTTTTCAGTCTTTATGATGGTCGATACTTGATCTATCTCTTACTTCTTACATCCCCAAAAACGCCGAGCTCTACTGCTAGTATTTACTAAGCTGAATAAGCTCTGTGATCCACTTCTTGTACGAAGATTGATATTGATAAAAAAGGTGGTCGTGGGATGTTGATGTTTTACCAACCATTCCAATTAATAAACAATATAATAAATAGTGTAAATAAACAATCTAATAAGTTGATAGTTTTTATTATTTTTGCTGTCGATTCTCAAGAACAAAAAAAAATGATATGTTTAGGTCTTATTTCAAGAGTCTAAAAAAAATCCACATCCTTGTGGGTGATGAATTATTTTCCACCCAACAACGCGTTTCTCACAGACGAAACGGTTCAAGCCTTCCACTGCTCTATCGCTATTTCTATGGAAAGTGCTCAGACGAACTACCTTCCTTATTTCTATCAGTTCTAACATTCATGACTAAGACCCGCCATGTTACACACATTGTAGCTAACCACTTTCGTATTCCATTTGTGAGGCGTAATTTCCACTTGATCAGATTCTTCCTATGAACCACTGCTCTGTGGAATTGACTCCCCAGTGGATGCTTCCCCGATCACTACAATAGCTAAGATAGAAGATAATGATTAACCCTAGACTTGAACAGGTTAACCTTTTCAAGTTCATTTGAAAACTATCTTCCCCCTAAGATCATAACTAAACTTGATTCTGTCACCCTCTACCTTAAGTGGCTCCTGGGCCTTGTACGGGGTGAACACCACAGCACATAGAAAACCAAAATAAAAAGGTTAATGATTGATGTATTTACTAGATACGATGCGCCATAGGTTTATTTAAATGTTCTTCTTCTTCATGTGCCTAATCTCCTCAGGACATAGGCGATCATGGCTCTCCACAATTTCCTGTCCCTTGTAGCTCTTCATAAATTTTGTCTTTCTGTTATTTCTTCTAAACCCTGTTTCACTATTCATTTACCCAAGCTCACCAAATATGTTATGCATTGTTTTCTTCTGTCTCTCTTGTCTTCAAACTGTCCCGTTAGTATCAGATTCTCCAAGCCCTCTTTTCTCATTGTGTCATAAAAACCTCAACTGCCTCTTGTTCATGTTGAGTATAAGTTTCCTTTTCATTTCCATTTTCTCTAAAATGTTGTTGTTGCTCACATGTTCGAACCATGATATGCTCACCATCTTTCTGTAGAACCACATTTTTAAGATTGTTAAAAATAATTATTTAATGATTGTCTGCTAAATGATTGCTTTCCTTGCCATTTTATGGCACACTTCCCACCCTCAGTTGTGACATAGTCGACTTCAAGTGGTTGGGGGATTTAGACATATAATTTTTTTTCTGTCCTCTGGATCAGTATTTCTCAATTTTTTTTGACGCATGGACCATTTTCTTTTTAAAAATTTTAAATGGACCACTCCTTTATTTTTTTTTTTTTTTTAATGTTCAGTATTCACACATAAGAAAATAATGAATATCGACTCCGATTGAGGAATCGGAGAGCCGAGTTCAAATTCCAGTCAAATCCATTACATTTATTTACATGGTAATACCCTTGGGAAAGGTATGAATCATCCTCTTCTCTCTCCCCCCAGGTATGGGTAAAATAGCAAGACAGACTGGGTTCTTCAGTCTTAGTCTGAGAGTTTCTCTGATAGTGAGATCTATTTATTTCCTTTAAAACTAAAAAAATCCACAACAGCCCAAAATCCAGATTCCACCATCCATGTGGTAGGGCCATCCTGGATATGACGATAAACTGCATCTGCGTCCTGGGTATGACGATAAACTACGTCCAACAGCAACGCCTCTGATCAGGAGGTTTTGAGGAGTGTGGAATCACCTCTTAATTGCTGGTGTTCCCAGGTCCACCCTGACCCGGGGCGGTAGCACCTGTTAGGGTCCCAGCTATGGGCAAATAGTTAACCCTGAAACTGAGGTAAAAAGCATTATAAAAGTGTAAAATTAGGTTTTAATACCAGAAATATTTTGTAAAAAAAATTATTACCGGAAATAAAATTTTGAAAAAAAAATATTACAGTAAACCAGGATATAAAAAAAAGGCATTGTTGGGACCTTTTCAGAATTCTCTTATATCCATTCAGTTGAATCTAATTCATATAAATTAACATGTTCTAATTTGGGACCAAAAAAATCTCTTTTATCAGGTTTCACTGATTTTTTTTTTTTAAATAATATTAAAAATTTTTACATTTTGAGGAAAAATATTACCAGAAATAGATTTTTGACAAAAACAAAATATTACCAGGAAAAAAAAATGTCATGAAAATAACACATTGATGGTTGATATGCCATCCTAGATAACCAAACCTAAAAAAAAATCTACAACAGCTGAAAATCCAGATTCCAATAAAAACGAATTTTTAAAAAAACAATGTGTATTCAAAATTTTACACTGCATAATAACATCCTGGCATTTTTTAGAGAGAGAATAAGCTGAAAGGTTTTGAATCAGTCTAAATTGACTGCATGAGTAACAGTTTTTTGTTTTACGGTATATCAACACCTCAATGGGTTATTGTTGTGTATGATACACCTAATTTACATAAGCGGACTACCGACCATATAAATATGGGTTGGTACCGGAAGACGGGGAAGATAGTAGAGATTAAGAAATTGAATCCAGAGACTCTGCCCGACTGCGATTTAGTCAACCCATTATGCAGGAACAGTCTTCCCAAGAATATACCAAACTAACTGTAAATATTGTGTACCTATTCTTTGTTTCAATACATTTTGTTAACGTACATTTTGTGTTGTATTATTCCATGCTTATTTAAGCTTCAACAGTTATTTAATACCGATAAGATTATTATTGATGGTAATAATTTATTTTTCTAAAAATGAATTGCTGATAATTCTCTTTTTTCAAAAATGTATTGCAGGTAATGTATATAGAGAAACCCGGATATAAAAGAGATTTTCTCTGGTCCCAAATTAAAGCCCATACTTACCTAAACAAAATAGACCAAACCCGGATATAAGAGAAACCCGGATATATCTTTCTTCTCGGTCCCGACAACTCTCTTATATCCGGGTTTGGTCTATTTTGTTTATATTAAGTCTGCTTTAAACAAACATATTTCCTTATTGAAAATCTTCTTATATCCGGGTCTCTCTTATATCCGGGTCTCTTTATCCAATCACACTGTATTTCTTTTATTCAAAAACGTATTGCTGGTAATTTTTCTTTTCTAAAAAATGTATTGCTGGTAATATTGCTTCTACATGTTGAAAAATATTGGAGTATGCGTCATTTATCGATATATAGGCAGAGACAACTTCTTTGTCAACTCTTATTTACATTAGATTTTTTATTTCATCAAAGTTTAAATAATTTTGATACACTTTTGGGAAATGGCTAGAATTTTTTATTGCTACAAATTCTCTGTGGACCACTAGAAATGCTTATGTGGTCCCCCTGGACCACATTGAGAATCACTGCTTTAGGTGAATGTATTCATATTTTTTTTTTACTAAGAAAGCAGCATTTTGCTTCCTCTTAGCCTTCACCTTGGCATGAAGGTGTCCCTGCCTCCCATTTTGAAATCAGCTCCTCCACCACTAACCTCGAAGTATTGTCCTGGCAGAAAAAACATCCAGCAAATTTGAGAGTAAAAAAAAAAAAAAAAAAATCTTGCATAAAACGAAATCATTTATCTCATCTTAATAGATGCAAGTGTTTGTATAAAAACTGGTTTTTTAACTAGACAGGATTTGCTATATCCCAGACTCTTTGCCAAAATAACTTGCACTATTTAACGTCAAAATAATCTCATTAAGCATGGACGTATTAGTCACAAAAGATTTGAGCTGGTTGTGGATGGGGTGGGCAATTTCTTTTGATAATCATAAGTCCATGAACATATATAAAAACACACTTTTTAAAAAAAAATGTCTAGTTATCATTGTAGAAGGTCATGTTTGTTTTTAATGTCTTATAACTTAATCCGGAAATTTTCATTAAAAACAAAGAATAGAGTACTAAAAAGTTATGTAGTATCAGTCCTATATGACAGTGAATGCTGGACAATCTCTTCACATACGAAGAAGTGACTTGAGGCAACAGGAAACTAATTAAGTCTATTACTACTGGGTATAAAAGCAAGAGAAATAAGATGAAAAGAAATACTAGTGAAAAATGAATAATAATTGCAAAGGATCAAAAGAAATTCAGACAACTTAAGACTATATTAATACTTGGTGGAAAAAAGAAGAGAAATAAGATGAAAAGAAATACTAGTGAAAAATGAATAATAATTCCAAATGCTTCATCTAAAAATTCAAAAGTTACTAAAGGCTATTAAAACTTGGTGGAAAAAGAAAATAAGATGAAAAAAGAATACTTTGAAAAATGAATAATAATTGAAGGGAAATAAAATTCAGACAACATAAGACTATTAAACTTGGTGAAAAAGTAAGAGAAATAAAATGGAAAGAAATACTAGTCAAAAATGAATAATAATTTACAAGGCTTCATCTAAGAAATTCTACAAATAAGACTATTACTACTTGGTGAAAAAGTAAGAATAATAAGATGAAAAGAAATACTAGTCAAAAATGAATAATAATTGAAGGGAACATCTGAAAATTTTACTTAAGACTATTATTTGGTGGAAAAGCACAAAATAAATTCAATTGAAAATACTAGTGAAAAAAAATAATAATTGCCAAGGCTTCATCTAATTTTTCAGACAACAAGACTTTTTCTTTGGTATTCTGCAAGAATGATATTGAAAGAAATACTAGTCAAAATGAATAATAATTGCCAAGGCTTCATCTAAGAAATTCAAACAACTTAAGACTATTACTTCTTCTATTTGCCACATCCCTTCAGATCATAGATGATTACAGCTCTCCACAACTTCTTCATGATAATGAAATTCAAGATGATCCACATATGGGGTGGGGGTGATGAAAAGTTCTCAGGTCAATCCACATCCCAAAATCTGAACAAATGATCTTAGATTAATTTCCATAATAAATTCTCTTCATTCTTCTTTGTACAAAATTACTCTAAAATCGTGAGAAAAACCACTTACCATAAAATATCTGTTACAGAGATTTAGATACCGTACTTTTGTTTTCATTCATGCCTGACTACAGTAGCTCCTTTTACCCTGGTTCTGCCTCCCACGTAATCTAAGTTTCTTCCCCTTTGTTGATGTAAACAGGAGTGAACAAAGATGAATACAAATTGGAGAGAAAAAAGAAACATTGTTAATTCTTCATCTTACTTATTATAAAATGCAGATTGTGTGTGTGTGTGTACGTTTATATATTGGATCGGATTTCCTACATTTTTCAACCGATTTCAACAAAACTTCACAGGACTACATAAAATTACCTTGCGATGGTTCTGATGGTGCCAAAAATTGGAAAAACACAATTGTTTTTGCACGAAATTAATTTGAAAACACAATAAAACACTATCTGTCACCAGAATGAAAGGGGGACAACTCATATCGAGTTATACTTATTATAAAACCCAGGTTGTTTGTGTGTGTGCGTTCATTTATATATGGGATTGGATTTCCTACATTTTTCAACCAATTTTCAACAAATCTTCACTTTTTTTTTGGCAGGTAGTGTTTCTTATTGTCTTGCACACTTTTTTCTTTATTTTTACATTCAGAATGCTTTAAAAATTCCATTTACAAGACAATTGTTTATAATAAAATTCTATTTAATTAGTAGACTCATAACGATTGAAAACAATGTTTTTGTTTCAGTTTAGGGTTTGACTAATTCGTAAAAAAAACAAAACAAAAAAACTAATTAAGACATGCGTGTCCGTCAACCTTAAACAATAATCTTTGTCAATTTTATTTTTCAGTCTTCATGATGGTCGATACTTGAGCTATCTCTTACTGTTACATCCCCGGTCAATGGCGGGCTCTACTGCTAGTTTATAATAAAGTATTTGGTTTTAAAATGACAACTGGAAAAAAATTTTTAGTTGTTGCCGATGTGTTTTGTCTTTTGACTTTATCAAGGCAAACAATGAAAGCGAAATGTTTTGTAGCCATAGTTACATCAAATCCAAAATTTCCAGAAGAGACATTTCTGTGTAAACCTCATTCTGGATATTGGTAACTTCCTCTTGACTAAGAATTTGTTTTCCATGTCGGCAATAAGGTTAATTTTCAATGTAGTCGTGATCATAAAACTCACAGTATATACAGTATAGTGATTTTCACACATTTAGATGTGGCAGAAAAGTATGGGGCACCCATAGTTTGGAACAAACTCGCTACTCAAAATTGTTCTGGAGACAAGCTTGCTAATCATTACATTACATTGAAAAATAATTTTCTAAACATAGCTTAGATGTGGCACAGGTTAAAAATATAGGGCATAATAGTGAGGATCAAACTCGCTACACAGTGACAATCTAGCTAGACAAAAGATTGCTAATCATTACATTACATTACAAGGTTCCCAAATAATTTTCTAAACATTTTAGATGTGGCAAAAGGCCAAAAGTATGGGGCACCCAGTGAGATCAAACTCGCTACTCAGTGGTAATTGTTCTAAAGAAAAAGTGATTACATTAATTACAAGGTTCCCAAATAATTTTCCATAAGCAGATGTGAGGCCAAAAGTATGGGGCACCCAGTGAGGATCAAACTCGCTACACAGTGGTAATTGTTCTAGCGAGACAAGCTTGCTAATCATTACATTACATTACAAGGTTCCCAAATAATTTTCTAAACATAGCTTAGATGTGGCACAAGGCCAAAAGTATGGAGCACCCAGTGAGGATCAAACTCGCTACTCAGTGGTAATTGTTCTAAAATAAAAAATAGGGAACCATTACATTACATTACAAACAAATCCCAAATGATTTTTACTAAACATATACTAGATGTGGCACAAGGCCAAAAGTTATATTTTTTTAACTGATCAAACTTTAATCAGTGGTAATTGTTCTATTAGACAAATTAACCATTACATTTTTCCCAAATGATTTTCTAAACATAGCTTAGATGTGGCACAAGGCCAAAAGTATGGGGCACTATTCTTATGTAACTAAGCAAATCAAGCTCATTAACCATTGTCCCACGTCAAAGTGCTCTCAGTATGTCATGACTTTTAGAACCAATTGATGACATAGGCCAGGATATTTCTATTTACACAGATTTTATTTTTAGTAGATGTTTGAGTTAAGACACCCGGTTTTTTTTTTCTTTTTCTTAAAAACTAAAATTAATATCAACTGGCCTCGATCAAGAAATAGATACATCAAGAAGATTGGAAATCGGAAAGTCAAGTTCCAATTCCAGTCTGTACTCAAGGGACTTTTAACCGAATGTTCGTTTAGCTGAAAATGTAGTGGCATACATACATGTATGTCACACTCTTTATCGTAATGTGCTACATATATTTATTTACTGTATAAATTTATAAGTTTTTTTGTTTTTTTTATTGTGTATATATTATATTTAAAAAAATCTTTTAAAAAAAATCTATTCTGTATATATTATATTTTAAAAAATCTTTTAAAAAAAATCTAATATTCTATATATTTTATACCCAAATTTTTTTAAAAAATCTATTTTTATATTATTTTTAAAAAATCTTTTAAAAAAAATCTTATTATATATTATATTTAAAAAAATCTTTAAAAAAAAATCTATTCTGTATGAATCTATTTTCAGAATTTGTCTATATTTCTGAGATGAGGTATTATGTACAGTATAAAAAAATCTATTCTGTATATATTATATTTAAAAAATTTTTTTTTTAAATCTATTTAATTATATTTTAAAAACCTATTCTGTATATATTATATTTAAAAAAATCTTTTTTTAAAAATCTATTCTGTATATATTATAATTTAAAAAATCTATTGTGTATATATTATATTTTAAAAAAACTTTTTCAAAAAATCTTTTTCAAAAAATCTATTGTCTATATATTTTAAAAAATCTTTTTTAAAAATCTATTCTGCGTATATTATATTTTACTTCAAATATTACTGTAAGATGATAAGTATTTTGAAAAAGCACATTTTAATACAGCAAAAATCTTACGCTTTTATGATATGGAAGATCTTTCAAATTCACTTTTAAATAATCATTATCTTAAAGGGATGAACTAGCTTTTATTTTACTGTTAGATATGAATTTAAATAATTAGGCGCTACTTTCTACCCAAATACACTTAAAAAAATACTAATTTTAACAAACAAATATTGAAATAAGAAAACTTTTACAGTTGTACATAAATACCCTTGGGAAATGTATGCATCTACCTCTTCTCCCCTAGTTATGGGTTAAATAGTAGAACATGTATCAGCGAATCATTATTATCTCCCAAAAAGAAATTTTTTCTGGCTTTAAATAACCTGCAAAAGTTTGATGAGCTGTATAAAAAAAAACAAAAACAATTTTATGCTATTATCAAATACACCACCCGCACATTCGAACATAGAGCACCTGCTATTCCCAAGCAGTCACCCATCTAGACTCTGACCAAGCTTGACATTGCTAAATTTCAGTGATATTGTTGTAAGTGGGTCAAGAAAAGTCTCAAAATTATTCATGCTAATTTTTTCTGAGCAAACCTCAACATCAAGATTAACAATAAAAGATAAAAGAAGCACTATTCTGTAAATTCTCTAATGCCTTTACAAGAGTTATATTTTTAGCATGTGTCTTCTCCGTCGACTTGTTCAAATTCTATAGTGAGATAATTCTGAAAGCATTACATATCCTGCCAGGATTTGTTAAGCCATGCAGGTAACACAATGTTGATAGTAGATATGGAAAGGAAACTTCAGAAAATAGCGAAGGAAAGTGAGAAGAAAGGACTACGTATAAACCAGAAGAAGACAGAATTCATGGTTGTCAGGAAAAGGGTTGGCCCAAAAATGAAAAGTACAAATCGGGAGATACGAAAATCAAACAAGGACAAAAATTTAAATATCTGGGAGGTGTTCTAACAGAGGATGGGAAGTGCAACACTGAAAACCAAAGGCACATTGGGATAGCCAAAGGTGCCTTCCAAAAGCTAAGCAGAGTATCAAGAGATAGAAAAAACATCACTGTAAACAAAGAAAAGAGTACTGAACTGTTACGTAATATCAGTCCTCCTATATGGCAGTGAATGCTGGACAATCTCCTCACAGATGAAGAAGAGACTTGAAACAAAGAAAAGAGTACTGAACTGTTATGTAATATCAGTCCTCCTATATGTCAGTGAATACTGGACAATCTCCTCACAGATGAAGAAGAGACTTGAAACAAAAGAAACATGGTTCTACACAAAGTTGCTGAGGATACTATGACCCGAACATGTGAGCAACTACAAAATTTTAGAGAAAATGGAAACAAAAGGAAACTTATACTTAACATCAGGAAGAGGCAGTTAAAATTTCTGGGGAACATAAAGAGGAAAGAAGGCTTGGAAAATCTGATACTCACAGGACAGATTGAGGGGCAGAAGAAAGCAACACATAAAATATTTGATGAGGTTGAGTAAATGTATGGTAGAACAGGGTTTGGGAGAAGTAGCAAAAATACAAAAGTTACAAGTGACAGGAAGATGTGGAGGGCCATGATCGCATATGTCCTGAGGGGGCACAGCACATGAAGAAGTGTGGTTTATGTTAATTTTAAGAGTTTTGTCATCATACTTGAGCATCTAAGAGCAAATATCATTTTATTAATTGTGCTTTTTATTCTTTTAAGAAATATGACTAAAATGTCTTTTTAGGGATCTTTAATGCTTAGCAATAGTTATATTTTTTGTGAGTTACGCAAGTTTTATGATGTTTATCATTTTAAGGCCTTATGTCTGGTTTATGTCAAAAACCAGATTATGACACAGCTTTTGGGAGCCAATTGATGACATTGGGTTGGGTAATTCTACATAAATTTCTGATGACTATAAACATTATTTTTAGTGTGCACACATGTTTAAGTTGGTATACCAGTTTTATGGGGGTTTTTTCTTAAACAGTGAAATTAATACCAACTGGCCTAGATCAAGCAATAGATGCACCAAGAAGATTGATTGACTCATCAATTGATATTTTTTACGGCTTATCAATTCTTTTCAGGTTATTTCCTCCCCCCACCACCGAAAAAAAAATAATATTCTTAGATTGTAAGAATTTTTTTTAGATAATGATGGTTTAGTGATAAAATTCTTACTAATTTACTTTCTCCTTTTTCTTTCTTTTTTTCTCTCTTTTTTCATTCTTTTTTCTCTCTTTTTCATTCTTTTTTCTCTCTTTTTCTTTCTTTTTTCTCTCTTTTTCTTTCTTTTTTCTCTTTTTTCTTTTTCCTCTTTTTTCTTTTTCTTTTTTTTTTTTTTTTTTTTTTTTCTTTTTTTTTTTTTTTCTTTTTTCCTTTTTTTTTTTTTTCTCTTTTCTTTTCGTTCTTTTTCTTTTTTCTTTTTTTTTTTTCTCTCTTTTCGTTCTTTTTTTCTCTTTTTCCTCTTTTTCTTTTTCTCTTTTTTCATTTTTTTTCTTTTTTCTTTTCGTTTTTTTTTCTTTCTCTTTTTCTTTTTCTTTCTTTTTTTCTCTTTTTCTTTTTTTCTTTTTTTTCTCTTTTTCTTTTTCGTTCTTTTTTCTCTTTTTCTTTTTCGTTCTTTTTTTCTCTTTTTCTTTTTCGTTCTTTTTTTCTCTTTTTCTTTTTCGTTCTTTTTTTCTCTTTTTCTTTTTCGTTCTTTTTTTCTCTTTTTCTTTTTCGTTCTTTTTTTCTTTTCCTTTATATCTTTGTTCCTTTTCTATCTTTCTCATTCGAGATGTCAACACAAGCAATGTGACTTCTTGGGATGGATTTTAAAAAATATCCCCCACCCTAAAAATAATTATAAAAAGCATAAACCAAAAACAAAATATATAATAAGATGTGAAACACAGTCTGAGTTGTGTCTTTCCATTACGTCTGATAAATAATAAACCATTCCATTTTGATTGAGAAATTCCTGTTCACCCTGATTGGCTTAGATCTGATACATAAAAGCATTTAACACTTCCGCTGCTAACTACGAAGATCTTCGTTTTTCTTATCTTGCTCCAGCTGGCTAAGTACGGAAAACTACATTTTTTTTTTTGCATACCACTGGTATGAGTGTCCCGTTGTGCCATCTATCGTCAAAACACAAAGGACAATGCTTCAAAAGATATCATGTGTATACCCATTACTGATCTTGTAAGTCATTCCCAGGTATATCCATGAAAATGGAAGGCTGTAAAACACACTGGTACCAGTTTTTTGTGTAATAAAATATGTAGGTTGAAATTTGGCATTTTCTTTAAAAATGGCTGTCGGGATGCGGGCAGCACTGGGCAAATGAGTAGCAGTGAAAGTGTTAATAGAATTTAAAATTTCAAAAATATTGTTTTTTAATCAATTCACCGCAAACAAGGTGATAAGGCCATTAAGACACAAAAGGTATTGGGAGTGAAAAAGAATGAGAAAACTTTAGAAGGAACTGGAAACCCAATCCGAAACCGGAAATGAGAAAAGAAACCTCTACTCCTGTTGAAAAGACAATGAATGTGTGTAAACTGAATGATAGGTGACAGTATCTACATTTCGGGAGGGGCAGTTGACATAAGGTTTTAGATATTATTATTAGAATGTCTGGTGAAGGTAACTTTACATGAACACTTCAACTTCTATGTACTATGTCTCTTTAAAGTGTAGACAGTCATGGCTCTCCACAATTTCCTGTCCTTTGTAATTCTTAATAAATTTTGTTGTCTCTCCTCAACCTTGCTCTGTAATCTGTTTACTCAATCTTGCTATGTACATTATGCATTGTTTTCCTCTGTCATCTTGCCTTCAATCTATCCTATGAGTATCAGATTTTCCAAGTCCTCTTTCCTCATTATGTACCATAGAAATGTCAACTATCTCATTGTGATGTTAAGTATGTTTCCTTTTGTTTCCATTTTCTCTAAAATTGTTTATTGCTCACATGTTTGATCCATGGCATTCTCAGCATCCTTCTGTAGAACCACATTTTTATTTCTCCAAGTCTCTTCATCATCTGTGAGTTGTCTTCATCATCTGAGAGGACAGATATTGTCCAACAGTTCATTCACTTTTTTCAAGTCTCTTCATCTGTGAGGAGGACAAGCATTTACTGCCAACAGTTCAACAGTTCAGTATTTTTTTTGTTTCTCTTGTTTCAAGTTTTTTCATCTGTGAGGAGATTGTCCAGCATTTACTCTTCAGTCTTCAGTATTCTTTTCTTTGTCTCTTGAAGTCTCTTCTTCATCTGTGAGGAGATTGTCCAGCATTTACTGCCATAGAGGAGGACTGATATTACGTAACAGTTCAGTATTCTTTTCTTTGTTTCTCTTGTTTCAAGTCTCTTCTTCATCTGTGAGGAGATTGTCCAGCATTTACTGCCATAGAGGAGGACTGATATTACGTAACAGTTCAGTATTCTTTTCTTTGTTTCTCTTGTTTCAAGTCTCTTCTTCATCTTTGAATTCCAATTGTCCAGTAAATTTACTGCTTTGTCTCTGTGATTGTCCCATTTACTGCCATAGTGATATTACCAGTTCAAACTACGTTTCAAGTCTCAATAACAGTTCAGCATTCTTTATTGATATTACGTAACAGTTTATTCTTTTCTTTGTTTCTCTTGTTTCAAGTCTCTTCTTCATCTGTGAGGAGATTGTCCAGCATTTACTGCCATAGATGGACTGATATTACGTAACAGTTCAGTATTCTTTTCTTTTTCTCTTGTTTCATCTCTTTTCATCTGTGACTTGTCCATTTACTGCCATAGGAGGAGGATATATTAAATTTCAGTTTCTTTTCTTTGTTTCTCTTGTTTCAAGTTTCTTTCTGTGAGGATTGTCCAGCATTTGCCATAGAGGAGGACTGATATTACGTAACAGTTCAGTTTCTTTTCTTTGTTTTCTTGTTTCAAGTCAGTTTTCATCTGTGTGGAGATTGTCCAGCATTCACTGCCATATGTACAGTTCAGCATTCTTTCTTTGTTTTCTGTTGTTTAAGTTTTAGACTTGAACAGGTTAAAAAGATTGCATGATTGGAAAATCAATTGGAGTCAGTTTTAATAGTGATTTGCGTGAAGAAGCTGTAAGGTGGAACTTGGACCTCATAATGGAATAAAGGAATGAAGGTGGTCCACTATAATGTGCGTGGCATGGTGGGTCTTAAAGATTGAAAGCTAGAACTGGCAGAAATAAGAAATGTAATTTGCCAGAGCACTTTCCATGGAAATAGCAGCAAACATTTCATCTCAGAGAACGTATTGTAGGTTGGAAAATAATTTGTCACTTTTGGACTATAGAGATTGGAAAGTGAAGATTTGGCATTTCCTGTCCATATAGGGCTATGGTACTCCATTCTAGACCTAATCTGGCTCTTGTAAGGCTAGAGGTTAGTGGGAGGAGTTCGGTACTTACTAGAGCAATACAGGGAACTGACCATTTTTCCAGACTCTATAGGAATGGATTGTATATACAATTTCCACTTGGTCTGGGTCAATTTTAAGTCCCAATAGGTGCTTAAGGCACACAACCTCCCTGAGGACACATCCATTTATCATGATTGGTGATAGTCCAGGGTCCGATCAGTGATGACGGAATGTATCAAGATTGGTTTTGAGGCATTGAATGTAACCAAACACTTCCCTCCATCCCACCTACTGATAATTTAGAGCTAGGTCAATGGAGAGATCAACTTCCAATCTGTGTCACCCAAAATATGGTAAACTTTTGGTTTAGTTTGTTTTTCTTTTATCAATCACAATGGGTTATTTAATGCCGACAAAATTTTCTTTTTTTTTTTTCTTTTTTTTTTCAAAAATGTATAGCTGATAATATTTTTTTTAAAAATGTATAGTTTGTTTTGTTTTGTGGCATATTAACCTCAATAGGTTATTTAATGCTGACAAGATTTTTATTTCTGGTAATATTTTCTTTTTTCAAATATTTATTGCTGATACTAATTTTTTTAAAAAGTATTTCTGGTATTAAAATCTATTTCTACTCTTTCATAGTGTTTTGAGTCAGATTATGGAGCCAACTATTTGTCCATAGCTGGGACCCTAACAGGTGCTACTACCCCAAGTCAGGGTGAACCTTGGAACAGCAGCAATTAAGAGGTGGTTCCACACTCCTCAAAACCTCCTGATCAGAGGCCTTGCTGCTGGATGCAGATTATCGTCATACCCAGGGTGGATAAACTTTTGAATGGATCCAACAAATGCATAGATCACTCTTATGAATGGTTTCCAACTAGCAAGGTGACCTACATTTCACACCTCTCATCAGACTGTCATGTGGCACATTTCTTAACCTCTGACATATGCATAAATTACAGCTGAGTCAAGGGCAGATAACTGTTATGAATCATCAGTTCTTCGTTTTGATTTTTTTTTAAAATCATATCACCCTATGCAAGGCTATAAAGCAACTAAGACACAAGGGGTTACTTAGTGTGAAAGAATAAGAAAAAGAGAAACCTTATTAAGGAATGAGAAGAATAAAAGCAGAGGAATCAAGAAAACAATAGATAGCGATTGACATTGCATTTAAATTTTTGAAGATCAAAATTGGCTGGAAAACATGAAAATGGAAAAGAGCTTCAAAGGCAAAGATTGAAGGAGAACAATAGAAGAGTGATCAAGAAGACAATAGATAGCGATTGACATTGCATTTAACTTCTTGAAGATCAAAGTTGGCTGAAAACATGAAGACAGAAAAAAGTTTCACAAGTGAGAAATGCAAGAAAAGATACTATTAGCAGAGAACTTATGGTTAAATCTAGCCAATTCACCCGTAAAATGAGGAGACCTTGCTGCTAATCTATTGCTGTCGTTAAATTTATAAAATCTAGGAACCATAGTGAAGAGTCCATCCGAATAATTACCATGAAAGTATTTGTAAAAAAAGTCACATTACAACAGTGGGAAAATGACTGAAGCTGAGATGCCAGGTCAGGATCAGTAATATTGCTAATTCTTCTTTAGATTTTATCATTTGATTTCATCTATATTTTTAATGAATGTGATTTATTCATTTTAGGATCAGCACTGTTTGAACTTTTAGCATGAAAGATAAAATAGATTCTTTCAACATTTGCATAAAATATCTGGTTTTGTACTTTTGTCTCAATTTGCATGAAACGTGCAGTTTTGCTTTTTTGTATCAATTTGCATGAAACATGCAGTTTTGCCTTTCTGCGTCAATTTGCATGAAACATGCAGATTTGGAGTTTTGTATCAATTTGCTTCATGCAAATTGATACAAAACTCTAAATCTGCATGGACTCCAAATCTAGAATGGACTATTTTCATCATTGCCATTTAGTGTCTTTTGACCAGTCAAATCCATTACATCCACTTACATGCTAATACATGTTGCACTTTTGTATCAATTTGCATGAAACATGCAGTTTTGCACTTTTGTATCAATTTGCATGAAACATGCAGTTTTGCAATTTTGTCTCAATTTGCATGAATCATGCAGTTTGGAACTTTTGCCCCAATTTGCATGAAACATGCACTTTTGCCTTTCTGTCTCAATTTGCATGAATCATGCAGTTTTGCACTTTTGTATCAATTTGCATGAAACATGCAGTTTTATCATTTCATATCAATCTATTTTTCTTTTTATTTACAGGTGAGTTTTTGAATTTCTGAAGTTGGTGAGTTACTGTTTTTGGTATATATACATATATTTTTTACTAAACCCTAAAAGATCCTGCTATGATATCTGATATGTGGAATTTGACCACAACTTAACTGAAAAGGGTGTGGATAATTTCTAGACATTTTTACACATTTTTTTTGTTTGTATTCTTTTCATACATGTGCATTCTCTCAGATAACATATTCTTTATTTTGTCTGAATTTCTAGGATAAGAAGTTGCCATTAATCAAGCTGTTTATACGCGGACTATTCTCTTTTATTTTTCTTATCACATTTTGGCTTTTGTACCCTCAAGCTTTCATTAGGAGTAAGTCAATCAGGGTACCCTACAGAGAATTTCAAACTGAACCACTTATTTAATCTGCTGCGGTAAACGGTTTACGATCCACTGCCCATCAATACCAGGGAGAGAATTTCCAATGTCCGGAAGTCAGATTATTTTGAGAGCCCCCCCCCTAGTCAGGAAAGGAGATGCTGGGACAAACAAACTTGATCTAGCGTGTCTTACGAGATTTTTTTAAAGAGTGTCTTACTTGGCAACCCTTGTGATTGAGCGTAATTTGGCAAAAGAATTAGACTTTGAAGAACGCCTCGTGCATTTTGCTTCAATGAAAGTTCAAAAAATGTGCATTTAAGCTGTGTTGGAATTGGTTTTAGTCTTTTTATTTTTTTCAATAAAATACCAATTCATAATTTTGCACTCTACTGCTTGTAAAGAAGGCCCCCCTCCTCCACAACACCTAAAGTTATTTTCTTGAGGCCCCTTGGGTTTCAAGGACCAGCACATTTGTGACATTCTCAGCATCCTTCTCTAGAACCATCTTTATTGCTTCAAGTCTCTTCATCTTTGAGGAGATTGTCTCGCATTCACTGCCATATAGGAGGACTGATATTACGTAACAGTTCAGTACTCTTTTCTTTGTTTCTATTGCTTCAAGTCTCTTCTTCATCTTTGAGGAGATTGTCTCGCATTCACTACCATATAGGAGGTCTGATGTTACGTAACAGTTCAGTACTCTTTTCTTTGTTTCTGTTGTTCCAAATCTCTTCATCTGTGAGGAGATTGTCCAGCATTCACTGCCATATAGGAGGACTGATATTACGTAACAGTTCATTACTCTTTTCTTTGTTTCTGTTGTTCCAAATCTCTTCTTCATCTGTAAGGAGATTGTCCAGCATTCACAGCAATATAGGAGGACTGATATTACATAACAGTTTAGTATTCCTTTCTTTGTTTCTAGTGAAACTTTCTTGTTTCTTAATACTTTGCTTAGCTTTTGAAATATCTTTCAGTATCCCAATGCACCTTCAGATTTCAGTGTCTCCCTTCCCATCCTCTGTTAAAACACTTCCCAGATATTTAAATTGTTGCACTTGGTTGATTTTGGCAACTCTGATTTACAATTTGTGATCCCACTATGTCTCCAGATTTTACTGTTGAATTTTTCACCTTCTTTATCCATATATTTAAATTATTGTACTTGTTTGACTTTGGTATCCCCAATTTGTAATTTTGCATATTGGGCTGTCCCTTTTGCTAACAACCATGCATTCCATTTTCTTGCAATTGAGGTTAAGACCTTTCTCTTCACTTTCATTCACTCCCTCAGCATCCTTCTGTAGAACCACATTTCTATCATCCTAAATTATTTTTCATCTGGGCAGAGATTGTCCAGCATTAACCGCCATATTGGAGGACTGATATTATGTAACAGTTCAGTATTCTTTTGTTTGTTTCCAGTGAAATTTTCCTGTTAATACCTTGCTTAGCTTTTGGAAGGCATCTTTCATGATCACAATGTACATTTGGAATACAATGTTGTATTTTTCATCCTCTATTAAAACATTTCCCAAATATTTAAATTGTCTGATATTGGTATCCCCAATTTGTAATTTCCATATTGGGTTGTCCCTTTTGCTAACAACCATGAATTCAGTCTTTTTGCAATCAATCCTTTCTGCATGCAGATATTTAAATTTTAATTACAGAAGCAAAATAATATAATTCGCTTACAGCTTTACTTAATGTAAGAAAATAAAACTTGAAAAACCACCCCTGAAAACCTATCTTGTGATGATCACAATAATTTCTTTTTGGTACGTTTCAGTCATTCCAGAAGCTTATTGTTACATAGCTATATTTAGCTGTCCCCCCATGTGGGGTAGCATGTGACACAAAGCCGAGTTTAATGTGGTCATCCGAGCCCATAGGCCCGGCCAAAAATATAGCCTTCGAACCCACCTAGGCAGGTTTGAGAGCTGTCAACCTCCCCGAACGAAACCTTACCCTTCGGCAAAGCTTCGTCCGGGTTCCTCCCTGCTAATGCAGAGAGTTAGACAGACGGCGGTTGCTGTAACTAATACAGCTTATTGTTACATAGTCAACATGGTCAACATATAATTTTAGTAGTTACATGATGTCTAGAATGGACTATTTTCATCATTGCCATTTAGTGTCTTTTGATAATGGCTAAACTGGTTTGATTTTAGTATCTCCAATTTGTAATTTGCACTTTAAGCTACCCCTTTTGCTAACAACCAGGCATTTTTAGTTTTTGCAGTTGATGCTTAGTCCTTCCTTCTTGCTTTCCTTCTTTAGGAAGGTCGAAAGAATGCTGATTTATAAAAAATATTTATATATAAATATATATATTGTTTTATTTTTTTAACAGTGAACTCTAGTTAATCTTTTACCATATCGGTAATAATTTAAAAAAAAAAAACTTTTTTCTACTTGCAATTCTTATACTGCTGCTTAATAATTTGCATACCTTTGGAAGGCATTTTACACTATGCCAATGCCACTTCAAATTTCAGTGTCACGCTTTCCATCCTCTGTTAAAAAAACTTCCCAGATATCTAAATTGTTGTACTTGTTTAATTTTGGTATCCCCAATTTGTAATTTGCATATTGGGATGTCCCTTTTGCTAACAACCATACATTCTGTCTTTTTGCAATTGAGGTTTAATCCTTTCTATATTCAGATATTTAAATTTTAATTACAGAAGCAAAATAATAGAATTCGCTTACAGCTTTACTTAATGTAAGAAAATGAAAAGGAAAATTCCCCCCTGGAAGCCCATCTTGTGATGAACACAATAATTTCTTTTATTTATTTCTTTTTGGTATATTTCGGTCAGAAGCTCATTGTTATATAGCGTTGTCAACATATAATTTTAGTAGTTACATGACGTCTAGAATGGACTATTTTCATCATTGCCATTTAGTGTCTTTTGATAATGGCTAAACTAGTTTACGTGTTGCACTTCAGGCAGTCTTTTATACCAAATACAAATACCAGTCCAACTAAATTATTTCCTTTAATTCCTGCTGCTATAAGCTATAATTAGTTAAAAGTACTCGCTATTTCAAGGAAGCACGGTGGAGTAATGGATAATGGCTCGGATTGAGGAATCAGAAAGCCGAGTTCAAATCCATTACATCTACTTACATGCTAATACCCTTGGGAAAGGTATGAATCCTCTTCTTCTCCCCCCTGCTATGGGTAAATAGCAGGACAGACCAGGTTCTATAGCCTTGGATGGCAACTGGTCTACTGCAGAATGAAATGGCAACCTACTGCAAGAAAAAGTAGTAATGGATAGCTGCTCGGATTGAGGAATCAGAGAGCCAAGTTCAAATTCCATTCAAATCCATAACATTCACTTACGTGCTAATACCCTTGGGAAAGGTATGAATCCTCTTCTTCTCCCCCCAGCTATGGGTAAATAACAGAACAGACCAGGTTCTTATAGCATTGGGTGAAAACTGGTCTAAGAGAAGGACAGCTCTGAATTCAAAACCTGATCCTGCAGTAGGCTAATAACCTACTCACTTAAAAACACTGGCTTGTTATAGAAACCACAATGATATCTTGCACCCCTGTGTTCCTCAAGGAATTTAAAAGCATTATATATATATATATATATATATATATATATATATGATGAAATATAGTTTTAAGATGTGCTATGTTTATGGGATAAATTGCTCAATATCAGAGATAGAGAATGCGTAAAGTGAACATAGAAATCAATACTTAGAGGCTTCATTTGCTAGATGCAATCGTCAGGCCACGAGTGCTGTTATTTTTCTCAGCTATTTCTATATATATATATATGGTATATGCACTAATGCACCACTAACCTGTATATATATATATATATATATATATAATAAACGAGAAAAATAATAGCACTCATGGCCTACATTATATCTAGCATGAAACATATATACTAAGTGTTGACTTCTATGATCACTTATAGTAGTTCCATCTTGAAGGTTAGGATTAATTTAGCCTCCAGCTGGAGGAGATTTGCATGTGAATACAACACCCACCTTCTCTTGTGTCACTGCTTATTTAGTGCAGTGTACTTTTTTGTTTTTTTTTTAATGTTATCTGCATCATTGTTATTTTGTTTCAGAAATGTATAAAATTCCCTGGTTATTTTTTTTTTTTTTTTAAACTGAAAAATTTCCACCAACATGACAATTCTATGCAGTACTTTTATTTGGCACCAAAAAGTATGTATATATGTATAGAACGTTACAGAAAAATATCGACTTACGGCCTTATATTGATCACCTTATATTGATCAACGTCAAGTTCAAACCTAAATGAGTAACTGCTTGGGAAGCCAGGTGCTGTAAGTTTGGGTACAGTTGGTGTAATGGGATTATAACATATCACATTGAAACATTGGTTCCCATACAATCACTGAAGTGCTTGGTCAGTACCTAGATTAACTGCTTGGGAATACCAGGTGCTGTAAGTTTGGGTAATTGGGGGATTATAGCCGTATCACATTGAAACATTGGTTCCCATACAATCACTGAAGTTAAGCAACATCTAGTTTGGTCAGTACCTAGATGGGTAACTGCTTGGGAATACCAGGTGCTGTAAGTTTGGGTAGGCAGTTGGTGTAATGGGATTATAGCCGTATCACATTGAAACATTGGTTCCTATACAATCACTGAAGTTAAGCAACATTTAGTTTGGTCAGTACCTAGATGGGTAACTGCTTGGGAATACAAGGTGCTGTAAGCTTGGGTGTGCAATTAATGTAATGGGCTTATGGCCATATCACGTTGAAATACCAGTTCTTGTATGATAACCAAAGTTAAGCAATGTTGAGCCTGGTTAGTACCTAGATGGGAATCTGTTTGGTTGATTGGTTTTGTTTAGCAACATATCAACATCTCTATGGGTTATTTAATACCAAAATTTAAATATTTTGTATACTTTATATATATAAATATATATATATATATATATATATATATATATATATATATATATATATATATATAATTGTTTAGTGATACAAGATTTACTAATTAACCTATAGCTGGGGGGAGGGGGTGTCACACTTTCCCAAGGGTTACTGGGCTTACAGCCACATCCTGTTAAAAGGCCGATTTCCATACAATCAGCAAAGTTAAGTAACATTGTGCATGGTCAGTACCTAGAGAGGTAGCTGCTTGGGAATACCAGATTCTGTATAAAAAAAAAATTTCAGGCTTTAAATAACCTGCAAAAGGTTGATAAACTGTAGAAAACAAGTTAATCAATCAACAAAAAAACAATTCCCTCTATTTCACTCAGAGATGAACAAGCAGGTACCATCAAATCATTTCTTCATTGCAAAAGCTGAATAAAAACTATCCTTGAGAAATGTATGACTCTAGCTCTTCTCCCCCAGCTATGGGTTAATTAGTAACACTTGTGTCACTAAATCATTGTCATCACCAAAAGAAGGAAAATTCTTATTAAAATAAAAAAAAAAAACTTCTGGCATTAAATAACCTGCTAAAGGTTGATAAGCCATAAAAAAATAAATCAACAGGAGCTGCACAATCCTCTTCATGTCTTGATAGTCCAATAGTGTCTCTACATTCCTGTGGGTGATAAATTATTTTCCACCCTACAACCCCTATCTCACAAACAAAATATCGCAAGCCTTTCACTGCTCTATTGCCATTTCCATGGAAAGTGCTCAGACAAACTACATTCCTTAGTTCCACCAGTTCTAACCTTCATGGTTGACACCCACCATGTCACAAACATTGTAGTGAACCAGCTTCATTCCCTTCGTATGCCATTGGAGAGACCTAAGTTCCAATCGAGTAGCATCTTCCCACGAACTGCTGCTTCGTGGAGCTGATTCCGCAAAAAATGCCTTCCCATTCACTGCAATGTTAATCTCTCGCACACATATCCGCATAAACTTTGTATCCCTCTACCTCAAGTGGCTCTAGGGCCTTGTACAGGGTGAACATCATTTTAAAAAAAAAAATAAAGAAATTGAAATTTCTCTCTGAATTTATAGGTTGAGGAGGTAGCATTATTTACTCTATGGATCTTCGGACTACTGTCCTCATCTTTGTTGTGGGTGACAAATTATTTCCCACCCTACAACCCCTTTACCACAGACAAAAGATCACACGGCTCTCACTGCTCTGTTGCTATTTCCATGGAAAGTGCTCAGATGAAATATATTCCTTAGTTTCACCAGTTCTAACCCTCATGGCTAAGATCTGCTATGGTACTCACATTGTAGCAAACCATGTGAGATGTAAGTTCCACTTAGGCAGCTTCTTCCTGCAAACCATTGCTCTCTGGAATCAACTCCCAAGAGGATGCTTTCCCAATCACTACAATGTTGGCCTGCTCAAGTCAAGAATAAAACGTTATCTTCCCCAAATATCTGCATAAACTGTGCTTCTTACTCTGTAAGCCTCTACCTTGAGTGACTCTCGGCCTTGTAAAGGGTAAACTTCAAAAAACAAATCAATCTGCAAACTATATATCTATAAAACATGTTTATATATTGATTATAATTCAGCATATGTATTGATTGTAATATAGAATGGATCCCCCACTTTATATTCGCATAATTTCTTGTTTATCAGATTCTGGTTAGGTATGAATCTGCTGCTTCTCTCCCAGATAATGATAAGGGTCGATAACCCATAAAAAACGAATAAATCAATCAATGAAATACTGATTAGCTACACAAGCATGTCTTTTAGTTTTATTTACATTCTCTAGAATATAAATGTATAGAAATTATCATGGCTACAAAGTGAGGGATTAGTTTATATATTGATTGAAATATAGAACTGATCCCCAATTTTATATCCACATTATAATTTCTGGGTTTAAATAACCTGCAAAGGGTTGATAAATCATAGAAAACGAATCAATCAATGAAATACTGATTAGCTACACAGGCATGTCTTTTACATTTATTTACATTCTTTGAAATATAAATGTATAGATATTATCGCGGCCACAAAGTGATGGATCAGTTTATATATTGATTGTAATATAGAATTGATCCCCGACTTTATATCCACATTATAATTTTTTTTTGGTTTATCAAATTCTTATTAGGCATGAATTATGCTCTTCTCCCCTCAACTATGGATTAAATAGTAAGCATTATTATCTCAAAAAATATTCTTAAAATCTAAAAATATTTTTTGGCTTTAAATAACCTGCAAAGGGTTAAGTTGTAAAAGATGTATCAGTCAATAAACCAAAAAAACAAACAATCGCCTCGGTTTGACTCATAGAGATGAACAACCACTTACTGTAAAATGGTTTCTTTGTTGCAAAAGACGAGTAGAAAAGAAGTATCATTTCTAACTGCTGCACCTTTACATAAGAGATTGAAATATAAGTATTTTAAAAGGAAAAGAAAAGAAAGAGAAAAAATAGCCAATCTAGATTTGGTGCCAGAAAATATTTATTTTGGGTAATGGGAAGGGATCGGTTGGAAGAAAGCCTGAAGCCATTCACCTGCCCTATCCTAATTAATTGTTTTCTTTTTCTTTCTTTTCATTTTATTGTACCTGTTTCTGCTAAAAAGAGATACAACCTAGTTAAACAGGTAGGATTTTTCTTCTAGAGGGTGTCTGCCATTGAGTAGTGGTTAACAAGCTAGTTTACTTGTGCAGCAAGTTCTGGTCTCACAAAGGTCTCGAGTAGTGTGACCATGTGCCAGATTATACAACCCTTGAAAATGTCTTTATGAACTGGAATTATAAAAAATAAAACAGATTCTCAAACATTTATTTATTGAAAACCATAATATCATTATTATTATTATTTTGTTAGACTCTTCTGTTCTATCCTGCAAGGCTGGGTCCACACTGTAGTTCTATGCTTCAAAAGGGGACATATCTCCTTTCACTTTATCCATATTATTATTATTTCTTTGTTGGTCTCTTGTGTTCTATCCTGCAAGGCTGGGTCCACACTGTAGTTCTATGCTTCAAAAAGGACATGTCTCCTTTCATTTTATCCATATTATTATTATTTCTTTGTTGGTCTCTTGTGTTTCTATCCTGCAGGGCTGGGTCCACACTGTAGTTCTATGCTTCAAAAGGGGACATGTCTCCTTTCACTTTATCCATATTATTATTATTTCTTTGTTGGTCTCTTGTGTTCTATCCTGCAAGGCTGGGTCCACACTGTAGTTCTATGCTTCAAAAGGGACATGTCTCCTTTCATTTTATCCATATTTTATATTATTATTTCTTTGTTGGTCTCTTCAGTGTTTCTATCCTGCAAGGCTGGGTCCACACTGTAGTTCTATGCTTCAAAAGGGGACATGTCTCCTTTCATTTTATCCATATTATTATTATTTCTTTGTTGGTCTCTTGTGTTTCTATCCTGCAAGGCTGGGTCCACACTGTAGTTCTATGCTTCAAAAGGGGACATGTCTCCTTTCACTTTATCCATATTATTATTATTTCTTTGTTGGTCTCTTGTGTTTTAATATCCTGCAAGGCTGGTCCACACTGTAGTTCTATGCTTCAAAAAAGACATGTCTCCTTTCATTTTATCCATATTATTATTATTTCTTTGTTGGTCTCTTGTGTTCTATCCTGCAGGGCTGGGTCCACACTGTAGTTCTATGCTTCAAAAGGGGACATGTCTCCTTTCATTTTATCCATATTATTATTATTTCTTTGTTGGTCTCTTGTGTTCTATCCTGCAGGGCTGGGTCCACACTGTAGTTCTATGCTTCAAAAGGGGACATGTCTCCTTTCACTTTATCCATATTATTATTATTTCTTTGTTGGTCTCTTGTGTTTTCCATCCTGCAAGGCTGGGTCCACACTGTAGTTCTATGCTTCAAAAGGGACATGTCTCCTTTCACTTTATCCATATTATTATTATTTCTTTGTTGGTCTCTTGTGTTTCTATCCTGCAGGGCTGGGTCCACACTGTAGTTCTATGCTTCAAAAGGGACATGTCTCCTTTCACTTTATCCATATTATTATTATTTCTTTGTTGGTCTCTTGTGTTCTATCCTGCAAGGCTGGGTCCACACTGTGGTTCTATGCTTCAAAAGGGGACATGTCTCCTTCCACTTCATCCATATTATTAATATTTCTTTGTTGGTCTCTTGTGTTTTATCCTGCAGGGCTGGGTCCATGCTGTACTTCTATGTTTCTCATCAAAACGACATGTCTCCTTTCATTTCATTCATATTATTATTATTAATATGGTACTGTCATGTGATCATGTTTGCTACAATTCTGGGTTGCATTTGAGATCAATACTGGGCTCTGTATTCTGAACAAAAGAGCCCTGTTCTCTAATTTGATAATGACATTAATTTCCATCTTGTATCTGATTTAAAAATAAACCATTTAATAATTTCGATTTTTTTTTTTTCTGTGCGACATCCCTTCAGACAAATACAATCATGGCTCTCCACAACATCTTTTCTGTTGTTGCTTGAGGCATATTTTTGATCATTTTCCTCTCTTTTTTTCCCTACCCTGTCGCCCATTTACCCAAATCTCATTTGTTAGGCTATTTCCTCTGATTCTCCTCCTTTTAATATATATTATGAGTGTTAAACTTACCAAGTCTTCTTGCATGAT